GCGTCCAAGGTCTGCACCTTGAACTATCTCTCAATCTCGATAGTCGATTCTGAGATGGCTGGGTGGTTCCCTTCCATGTTTGGCATGTCGGGAAAATGTTGATAGCGTAGATCTGTGTGGTGAACAAGGCTTTGATTCCAAATGTCATGGGGTTATGATAACATGATTTTTTCTCTATTTTAAGGCCCATTGTGTAGCACTTTCGCATCGGTTTTGTGCATTATTAGACATTTAGGATCATTTTAGAACTAGGTTTTTGTTTCCTTTGCATTGTTTAGTGGTTGAATAGATAATAGGTGCATTATGGGAACTACAGAAGCATAATCAAGGATTTCGGAGCAAATTGGATCGGAACGGAATGCTAAGGACATTTCTAACTTGAGTTGCATCTGAACACGACCATGTCGAGCCCCAACACGACCGTGCAAAAGTGATGAAACGAATAAATTATTATAGACAATTTGCACTGATAACACCATATTTTGACGTTATTTTTCTATAGTTTTAGGTGCATTTCACTCCTCTATTCCGCATAAATATAGGAATTAGATAGCATTTTAGACACGAAAACCGTTTTCTTCGCTCTCTGATGTGATTTCAGGTATATTTGTGTATTTGGACGAAAATAGAGCTAAAACGGTATATTTGGAATTAATATAGACCAGGTTGACAATCGCAGACAGTTACGGATATGTCACGGGCAAAGCGAGTGCATTTTGCGTTATTCAAGAGGAAAAACGGGAAGGCATGCAGTAATCACATTGCTTCGGGCCCCATAACGTTTTTCTATCAGCTACAAATCATGCATGTATCATTAGAAAGCTCTCTTCAATACCTATGCATAGACACCAAGATCGCCTAATTCAGACATTGGAGCAGAAAGTTATGAGCAAAATATCGTGGCTATATCAGCAGTTCCGAAATATCGATGTTTTAAAACCTAGAGATCTGGGTTACTGAATATCGATGTTCTGGAACATCGATATTCATGTTTTAAAACGTAGAGATCTGGATTTCTAAAATATCGATATTTTGGAATATCGATATCGATGTTTTAAGACCTAGAGATTTGGGTTGTTGAAATATCGATGTTCTGGAACATCAATATCGATGTTTTAAAACCTAGAGATCTGGGTTGTTGAAATATCGATGTTCTGGAACATCGATATCGATGCTTTAAAACATAGAGATCCAGAAAATATAAACGTTTTGGAACATCTAGATCTAGCCTGAAACATCTAGATTCATGAAATGCCTATAAATAACGAGGTGGACAGACGCAGAAGGGGATCCGGAGGCCGCCCTAGGCCCAAGGTCGATATTTTCTATCATTTTCTCCGTAGTTTTTGCATTTTTTTTCTTTATTTCTTCAACGAGAGAGAGCAAGAAGGATCATTGAGGAGGCAGAGAGAAGATTGAGACAACGAGAAATCAACTAAGCTTTCTTTCTCTATGTTGTTTCATGATGTTTTTCTTTATTGTCTTGAACTCGTGTCTCTCCATGTTTATAGAGTAGTTTTTTCGCTGTGGGTTATGAATTTGTCTATGTATTGGATTTGTTTGGTTCTTCCATAATGTTGGGATTCATGAGATCTCTAAAGCGAATCCTATTACTAAGAGATCGATTCTAGGGTTTGCAGCAGCAAATGTAAAACAAAAATTTATATATAAAACCCTAGAACCTTGCATGTATGATTACGTAGAAACGTTAGAACGCTTACCTCAATCGATCCGGGGTCTGTATCAATTGGTGTGTTCATCCGACCATGAAAGGGAGGAAGATTACCTCGCCCTCTATACGTATCCACACCTCGGGATGGATTCCAACGATTGGAACTTGTCTGCTAGGACACGAATCAATTATTTGGTATGTTGTTTCGAGAAAACGAGACCTAGATCACTGATGTCAGAAATCTAGGCGAATAAATTTGATCAAGTTATAATATCCTAGACTCAACAATTAACCGCAAGTGTACAGATCGTGTGTAGTAGCTAGGGTCGAACACATGGACAAAATTAAGCAAAAGAGTTAAACCCAAATCCAAATCTAAATCCAAGAAAAATAATAGGAATGTGGAGAATGGAATGTCGAGAACAAAGCAATTAACTAAAACGGTTGTAGACAATCAATGGAAAACACTGCAGGCTTCGGGATTGCTTTACATGCAAGGATCTTTCAAAAGATTCAAACGAAGTGGTTTATCTATCCAATTCAGGGAACTCAAGCTCAAAAGTAGAGATTAACTCTCTTGAGTCTAATCTCACTATCCAGGCTTTATCCTACTAATCTCTCGATTCAATAGTCTAAAATCCTGGATGCATGAACGAACGCTATCCTAATCCCTAGGCAAATATTCATCTCTCGATGCAATACCTGTTCCATTTACTGAGTTATTTCCAGGTTAGAATCGCATATGTCTATGCGAATTAAAACCCTAAGTTCATTCAATCAAGTGGCCAACAGGATCAAAAGCATTAATCTCAACTCAATAAACCGACAGCAAGAGAACTACTCGCTAAACATCGAAACGACAGAGTTCATATCAATAATATAAAACATCGTAAAATAGAAGAAAGGAAGAATGCTTAGTCGATTTCCCGGCTTCGTAATCTCCGTCTTCTACTCTGATCTCTTGCCTCTTGATAATCACCCCCTTTTGGTGTGCTCTAGGTCTATTTTCCGTGTAAAGTCTGAATGAATTTCAACTTAGAGGCTTTCCCCTCTTATTTCACTTCGGTTTAGGCAAAATTGGAAGTTTTCCCGAATCTGGGGGTCGAACTGATCGTTTCGACAAAGCCAAACCGATCGGTTACACTTTATGAGCAATTTTCCAATTTCTGCGATGCCGAACCGATCGTTTCGCTAAACCCGAACCGATCTTGTCGTGTTTCTGAGCAGTTTTGACAGGCTTGACGAATTCGCTCATAACTTCCTGCTCCAATATCGGATTTGGGTGATCTTGTGTCTATGTATAGATATCGAAGAGAGCTTTCCAATGATATAGAGAATGCATGATTTGGACTTGTAGAGTGAAAGTTATCGGACTTGCAAGATCTGTCAATTCCTGAGTTTCACGTTTTCCCTGGAAACACTCCAAATGTTCCCGTTTTGTCTGTGATGTTCCATAGCCAATGTTTTCCACTCCTTTTGCTCTTTTTATGCATGAAAACCTGTTTAAATACCAAAGAACACAACCATGCAATATCGAAGCCAAATATGCCCTAGAATGCCTACAAATATATAAAATAGAGTGAAATACGCTGGACATCCAATATCAAAACATCACCCAAAATACGTGTTATCAAACTCCCCCAGACCTAAACCTTTGCTCGTCTTCGAGCAAATACTCCGTGAAAAACAATCTGAAAGGAAGGCGAGACAATGACATAACTCAAAATGATAATCGAGAGCGAAACATCTATCCGACCTAGATCCCCGTGAACAATGACCAAGTCTGTCTAATATGATCTCTGTCTCTAAAGGATAGTCTTTCCTAGCTATGGGATCTATACCCCTACCCAGAACCAATCTAAGGACTTCAATCATCTATCAAGCATGTTTCTCGAACCTATTACACCATTCTGCCTAATGTATCTAGTCTACGCTTTCAGCGTTCATTCTTTTTATCTTTTTCTCTTTTTTTTTCTCATCTAGCTAGACTTTCTCTCTTTTTTTTTGCTAGCATCTCGGGTTCCTAGGACGTTGAAGTTGAAGGGTTCCTAATCAATTTTTTTTTATTTTGTTTATTGGATAACCCGACCCACAACTTAGACCTGAACCATCGAATCGATGCACTCATGTCCTCGAACGATTTTCGTTGACGAGGTAGTGACAACGGAGTGTCGAGATGCTCACTATCTTTTTCTGCACATAAAAAAATAAGAATGCATTTGATAATAGACTTTACCTATTTCAGCAAACTTGGGAAAGACTCTTATAGAAACTTTTCTACCTGACTAGACAACATCGGTCCCATGAGTTCCAATCAACGATTTCTATCCCACAAGCCATTCTAGAAAATCCTAAAGATCAAGCAATCAATTCAACAAAACATAACCGCGTTCAACAGATCACAGTGTTTTCAAGACGTTTCTACTCTCTCATGTCATAGATCATCACATCAATGTTCAAAACGGTTCTATGCACGTGATCTTATATGTCCTAAATGTTATATGTAAATGCATAATCCTAACAACAAACTATATGATCCTAGAACCCTCTATATGGACATGTAACTAAAAAGTGAAAAGAAAAAAATGCATGCAACACTACTCTAAATAGATATGGTTTGGCGTTAGACGAATCCTCCCCCAGACTTGAACTAGACACTGTCCTCGGTGTCAATTCTCATCTAGTAGAGGCAACCAATAAGATGAGTCAAGAGAGAAGTAAATCAAAACGAGAAAAGAATACTTAGCTCGCGACGTTCGTTCACTCGCACTTAAGTCTGTCTACGTCTATCGCATAGCTAGCTGCCTTGTCTCCTCAATAGCTCCTCATTAGAACTCAATCTGGTGATAAAGACACAAACCAATATCCGATGCAAAGAGAAAAAGAAAAGAAAGGAAAGAAAAACTAACCTAAAAACTCGGGTTGCCTCCCGGAAGCGCTTGTTTAAGGTCGTTAGGTTGACCGAACCTTCTCAACTACCATACGGGTCTAACAGGCGAAGATTATCGATCTTTTGCCAACCTGGATCATGAAGTATATGAGAATGGTGGTCTGATAGACTAGTGACCTCTTTAACAGAGTGAGAGAGGTCATGAGCGCCCATGCGAGATGAAAGTGAAGCATTGTATCGTGCTGGGGCCTGAACCGATCGGTTAGAGAATGCAGAACCGATCGATTCCAAGTTCTGTAACTCCGAAGCTCGAGAAGGGTGCTCGAACCGATCGGTTGCACACTGCGACACGATCGGTTTGAGTTTCTGTAACTTTTTGTTCCGAACTCTATTTTCGAAATGATCGGTTGAAGGTCGAGAACCGATCGGTTCGACTTTCTATAAAATTCCGGCATTGAGATCATGTTCAAACCGATCGGTTCCCTGGCCTAAAACGATCGGTTCATACTTCTGAGCTGAATCGTCGAGTGTGTTTATGAAGCAGGCAGATTCTGTTGATGCCGGTTGTTTGAGATTTTTGTCCAATGTGAACTCCACCGTCTCATCTCCAATCTTCATGGCCAGTCTACTTGCTCTAACATGGATAACAACATCTGCAGTATTAAGGAATGGACGACCAAGGATGATAGGTACCTTAGGATCTTCGTCCATGTCGAGAACCACAAAGTCAACCGGGATATAGAAGTTTCCGACTTTCAATGGCACATCTTCAAGTATCCCAATGGGGTATTTGACAGAACGATCGGCAAGTTGGAGAGTCATTCTAGTGAGTTTCAGCTCACCCACATTCAGCTTCTTGAAGATCGATAATGGAAGAAGACTGACGACAGCTCCTAGATCACAGAGTGCACGGTCGATGGAAACATTACCCAATTTACAAGGGATTGAAAAGTTACCTGGATCGGACCGCTTAAGCGGGAGTTCGTGTCGGATCAAAGCGCTGCATTCGGCAGTAAGCGCCATAGTTTCTTTCTCAGTGACCCTCTTCTTGGGCAGAATGTCCTTGAGGTACTTCGTGTACGAGGGAATCTGCAAAATAGCGTCAGTGAATGGCGTGGTTACCTCAAGTTTCTTCAGCATCTCAACGAACTTCGCGAATTGGCTGTCTTCATTGTGCTTTCTCAGGCGAGATGGAAACGGTACTGGTGGTGGTCTAGGAGGAGGAGGCACGTAAGCTGGCTCAGGTGTATCATCAGCAGTGTCTAAAACTGTGGTTCTCGAACTATCGCCTTGCTCAACCATCGGTGGATCTCCAGAATCTACCTGCTTACCACTTCTTAAGGTAATAGCATTGACATGCGCACGAGGGTTAGTCTCAGAGTTACCTGGAAGAGACCCAGATGGTCTTTGAATGGCTGATGCTAGCTGAGCAATCCGGTTGTCTATGTTCTTGAAGTGAGCCTCGATGCTTGCGAACTGAGCTCAAAATTCCTGATTCGTCTTCTCTTGACTCTGCAAAAACTGTATAAGGAGACCGTACGTATCAGGGTTAGATTTGAGATTACCTGGAGATGCAACATTGTTGTAGGATTGTCCCGGAGCTCTGTAGTTGGATGTCTGATTAGGACCCCTGGATTGAAAAGCAAAGCCGGGAGGAATCCTCTGGTTCGAGTTGTCAGATACTCTGAAGTTGTTCGACGCGGGATTCTCAACACTGTTTGACTTGTATGAGAGATTGGGATGATTTTTCCACCCCGGATTGTACGCGTTCGAGTAGGGGTTGTTGGCCACATAGTTCACACCTTCGATTCTCTCATCTAGTGCGTACATACCGAGCTCCTCTTGTGTTGGCTTCGAATGTTCGGTCCTAGAGGATCGAGTGGAATCTTCGAACTTAGCATTGAGGACAGCCAATTGTTCGAGGACCATCTGTATGGTTTGATCATTGCCTTTCCTTGGCAAATCTCTAGAGTACTCATTCGGAGAGTCTTCTTCTTGGGCCATCATCTCAATATGTTCTTCTAGCTCAGCGAATGACTTGTTCTGGATGCTCCCACCGCAAGATGCCTGGATCAAGGTCTTGGTATCCATCCTGAGTCTTCGGAAGAAGGTGTTGATCAGGTAGTTCTTATCTAGCCCGTGATGAGGGCAAGACTTTTGATATCCCTTGTACCTCTTCCAAGCGTCATAAAGACTTTCCCCATGATCTTGCTTGAATGAATGAATGCCAGAAAGAGCAGCTTGAGTGCGGTGAGCTGGGAAAATGTTTGACATAAACTGCACTTCCAACTGTTCCCAGGTGTGGATGGAATCAGGTATCAAATCATAACACCATTCCAAAGCAGCATCCAGGAGAGTCCAGGGGAAAGCAATTAAGCGAAGTGTATCCTCTGTCACCATGCTATCTCTCTTGATAGAACGGCACATCATCTTAAAGCGAGTTAAATGTGCGTTCGGGTCTTCGTTCGGCCTACCCCGGAAAGCATTGTTGCCCAACATCTGAATAGTAGACGGGTTCAGCTCGAAACTAGACATGTCGATGGCCGGTAATCGAATACCAGCCAAAAGCTCAGTGTGCTTAGGCATGTTGTACTGGGCAAAGGTTGAGTCAGCATTGCCTTCGACACCATCAGGAAGAGCAAAATCTCGGTTGTTCTCCATCTGTCTTTGCTGTCGTCGGAGGCGTGTGATGGTTCTTTCAAGTTCAGGATCAAGAGGTACTAGGTTTGATATCTTAGAACTTCTGGTCATGCACTAGTGAACCCTGCACACAAACGAAAAACAACAGACAAACAAAGAAAACGTGAGAGATCACTTAAGAAAAAAGAAAAAACAAAAAGATCCAGACTAGACAAGATCTAATCCTGTTGCTTAAATTGTCCCCGACAATGGTGCCAAAAACTTGATGTCAGAAATCTAGGCGAATAAATTCGATCAAGTTATAATATCCTGATCACTTAAGAAAAAAGAAAAAACAAAAAGATCCAGACTAGACAAGATCTAATCCTGTTGCTTAAATTGTCCCCGACAATGGTGCCAAAAACTTGATGTCAGAAATCTAGGCGAATAAATTCGATCAAGTTATAATATCCTAGACTCAACAATTAACCGCAAGTGTACGGATCGTGTGTAGTAGCTAGGGTCGAACACAGAGACAAAATTAAGCAAAAGAGTTAAACCCAAATCCAAATCTAAATCCAAGAAAAATAATAGGAATGTGGAGAATGGAATGTCGAGAACAAAGCAATTAACTAAAACGGTTGTAGACAATCAATGGAAAACACTGCAGGCTTCGGGATTGCTTTACATGCAAGGATCTTTCAAAAAATGCAAACGAAGTGGTTTATCTATCCAATTCAGGGAACTCAAGCTCTAAAGTAGAGATTAACTCTCTCGAGTCTAATCTCACTATCCAGGCTTTATCTTACTAATATCTCGATTCAATAGTCTAAAACCCTTGATGCATGAACGAACGCTATCCTAATCCCTAGGCAAATATTCATCTCTCGATGCAATACCTATTCCATTTACTGAGTTATTTCCAGGTTAGAATCCCATATGTCTATGCGAATTAAAACCCTAAGTTCATTCAATCAAGTGGCGAACAGGATCAAAAGCATTAATCTCAACTCAATAAACCGCATAGAATAAATAAATCCACAGAGTCTGGAATTAAAAACAATAGATCCCTACATAGCAAATATGTAACCCACAGCAAGAGAACTACTCTCTAAACATCGGAACGACATAGTTCATATCAATAATACAAAACATCGTAAAATAGAAGAAAGGAAGAATGCTTAGTCGATTTCCCGGCTTCGTAATCTCCGTCTTCTACTCCGATCTCTTGCCTCTTGATAATCACTCCCTTTTGGTGTGCTCTAGGTCTATTTTCTGTGTAAAGTCTGAATGAATTTCGACCTAGAGGCTTTCCCCTCTTATTTCATTTCAGTTTGGATAAAATTGGAAGTTTTCCTGAATCTGGGGGTCGAACCGATCGTTTCGGCAAAGCCAAACCGATCGGTTACACTTTCTGAGCAATTTTCCAATTTCTGCGATGTCGAACCGATCGTTTCAATAAACCCGAACCGATCTTGTCGTGTTTCTGAGCAGTTTTGACAGGCTTCACGAATTCGCTCATAACTTCCTGCTCCGATATCGGATTGGTGTCTATGTGTAGATATCGAAAAGAGCTTTCCAATGATGTAGAGAATGCATGATTTGGACTTGTAGAGTGAAAGTTATCGGACTTGCAAGATCTGACGTTTCCTGAGCTTCACGTTTTCTCTGGAAACACTCCAAATGTTCCCGTTTTGTCCGTGATGTTCCATAGCCAATGTTTTCCACTTTTTTTGCTCTTTTTATGCATGAAAACCTGTTTAAATACCAAAGAACACAACCATGCAATATCGAAGCCAAATATGCCCTAGAATGCCTACAAATATATAAAATAGAGTGAAATACACTGGACATCCAATATCAAAACGTCACCCAAAATACGTGTAATCAATCACCTCTTAGACCTTTTTTACTCACCCAAAAGTCTGTCGAAGTTCTCCAAAGTCGGCTAACTTTATTAGGATTTTAGTCTCCTTCTTATAAAGTGATTTAACCCTAATTTTGGTTAATTTTCGAAAAATCCGAAATCTGGAACTGACGGTCCAGATTTGCATGTGGATCGTCTGTTCAAGCATGTCAGAACGGACGGTCTGCATTTCCCGTGGACCGTCCGTTCCAGATCTCAGAACGGACCGACTACCACGCATCTGGACCGTCAGGTCTGGACCTGTCGGACCATCAGTGTGGCACATGTAACCCGTAAACAGTATACAGGTTATGCCAAATGGACAATATAACGATAAAATAATAACTTGCGGAAGCGAGAATACGAAATCCAAAAACATTTTTAATCAAACCAGAGTAAGCAGCGGAAAATACAAGCGATCCGTATCACAAAACAACACATGTCCGAATAATCATAACGTAACCATACAAAATGCGGGAATACAAGTCCCAGAGTCCAAAATACAAATCTCGTACATGATGCTGCTTTTCTCAAATCGTCGTCCACTACAAAAAACAGCATTTCTGCAACGAAAGTTGCAACGAAAATTATTTTGTTGCAAACTTTGCAACGCTTTAGCAACGATTTGCAACGAAAAAATGTTGCAACGAAATAGCAACGAATTAACACGTTTTTGCAATGCTAACAACGCAATTCTTTCGTTGCAACGTAGCAACGAAAATTTCATTGCAAGTTGCAACGATTAGCAACGTTATTTGACGGGTGAAAATATTGCAACGCAACGACAACGAGTTGCAATCTTTTACTACGAAATAATTTCGTTGCTATTAGCAACGAAAGTTTCGTTGCAACGAGTAACGTTTTGCAACGCAATTGCCACACAGCTGAATTTCGTTGCTACGTAGCAACACACCGATTTCGTTGCTAACGATATTAGCAACGCAAATTATTCGGTGTCAGAATTGCGCTTTTTGGTAGCAATGAAATTGCGTTGTAAAGCTGTTTTGCAACGAAATTTCGTTGCTAACCGAGAAATGTCGCAACGCAATTGCGTTGCAAAACGGTGAAGTCTACTAATCGGTTGTACGTTGCAACGCAATTTCGTTGCTACGTTGCGTTGCAAATAATTTTATAAAACCCTCTCCTTCTCTCTTTTCCCCTTCAAACTTCAAAAATTCGAAAAAAAATGACATCGAGTGGAGGTGATATTTATCACTCTAGACGATGGTTATACGAGAGAATTGATGCATCTACGGGTAATTTAAGCATCCAGTATGAAGAGGGGTTGCAGAATTTCATGCAATTTGCGACAAGTCAGAATCAGTGCGTAAGAATGGGTAAAATATATTGTCCGTGTGCACGATGTGAAAATTCTAAATTTCTTACTCCAGAGGTGGTTCTAAAACATCTATTCAAAAGAGGTTTTGTTCCAAATTATTATGTTTGGGTTTATCATGGTGAAACGCTCGATGTTGTTAATGTTCCTACCATTAACGACAAATTTGTTGGGAGGAGCAGTGAACCAACTAACCGTTACGTTGATATCGTTCAAGATGCATTCCCTTCTCAGTTTTGTTCTAACAGAGAAGATGAAGAACCAAACAACGAATCAAAGAGGTTTTTTGATTTGTTGGAGGTAGCTAATCAACCTATATATGAAGGGTGCGTAGAAGGATTATCCCAATTATCTCTTTCATCACGAATGATGGGCATGAAGTCGAGTTATAATCTGACGGAGAATTGTATGGACGAGGTATGTCAGATTATGACCGATTATTTTCCTGGAGGTAACCATGCTCCTGATTCTTTCTACAATATGTCTAAACTCATGGGATCATTAGGCATGAGGGCTATCAAAATCGATGTATGCCCGAATAACTGCATGATTTTTTGGTCTGGAGATGATAAAGAGTTATCGAATTGTCGATTTTGTGGAGCTGATCGATTCAAACCCAGGAAAAATGTGCAACGCAAAAGAGTGCTGTATAAACGGATGTTTTATTTGCCGATAACAGACAGATTGAAGAGATTATACGAATCTCACAAGACAGCATCTCAGATACGTTGGCACGGAGAACATGTTTCGGATTCAGGCAACATGTGTCATCCATCAGATGGTGAGGCATGGAAGCATTTTGTGCAGCTATATCCTGATTTTGCCTGTGAGGTGAGAAATGTTTATCTGTGTTTATGCACCGATGGTTTTGCACTGTATGGTCAGTCTGGGAAACAATATTCATTATGGTCAATTATGTTGTCGCCGTATAATCTACCGCCAGAAATGTGTTTGAAAAGAGAGTTTTTATTTCTGACGATATTACTGCGGGACCTTCTCATCCGAAGAAGAGTTTTGATGTGTTCCTCCAACCTTTGATTGATGAATTATTGATGTTGTGGGAACAAGGTGTTGATGCGTATGACGTTTCAACAAGACAGAACTTCAACTTGAGAGCAGTGTTGATGTGGACAATCAGTGATTTTCCGGCTTATGGAATGTTGTCTGGGTGGAGTACTCATGGACGTTTAGCATGTCCTTATTGCATGGATGAGATTGATTCATTCCAATTAAAACATGGGCGGAAACCATGTTGGTTTGATTGTCATCGCAGATTTTTACCATTGGATCATCCATGGAGGCGCAACAAAAAAAATTTTAGACGGAACAAAGTTGTGACCGATCCAAGGCCTCTTCTCCTGATGGGTGATGAAATATTGTACGAGCGTATCGATAGCATTTTCGGCGTGCAAAAAACAACCGAATGTGGAGGAAACGGGCATTCCAAACCACATGAGTATGGTAATTACCATAATTGGTATAAACGAAGTATCTTTTGGGATTTACCGTACTGGCATACTCACAGACTTCGTCACAATCTCGACGTCATGCACATTGAGAAGAATTTTTTTGATAATATCATCAACACACTCATTAATGTGAAAGGTAACATTTTTTTCCATTTTTCCATTAATAATTTTGTGGTTATTTATATACGTTTTGTTTAATACCTTTTGTAAATTTATTGTAGGTAAATCAAAGGATAACATCACTTCAAGGATGGATGCTAAGGACATATGTTCTCGGAAAGATTTGGAGGTCAGAGCAGATGGAAAAGCTCCTGTTCCCATCTTCAGACTC